AGTAGGAACCGGGCCCGGAGCATGCGGCGTGCAGAGCATGTGCACATGTGGGAAGCATGGCAGGTAGAAGCAGGTCCGGATGCGGGTCCGGGTCCGGGCTAGTCAGGGTGTGTGCCCTGACACATACCAAGACTACGGAGTACCTCGGGTACGTACTTTCTCCTAGCAGACTTGCCATGTCCTCAGAGAAGGTGAAGGCCATCCAAGATTGGCCTGAACCCCGTAAGGTAAAGGACATTCAGTCCTTCTTGGGATTCGCTAATTTCTATCGGCGCTTCATCCACGAGTATTCTGATATTGTGGTACCACTGACCCGGCTCACCTGAAAGGGGGCCCCCTGGGTATTCACCGACAATTGTCGTTCGGCTTTCCAACGACTTAAGGATGCTTTCACTTCCGCCCCCATTTTGACCCATTGGGTTCCCAACACGCCAATCATAGTCGAAACCAACACCTCCGATTACACGATTTCAGGCATCATCTCTATCCACTGTGCAGATGACGAGATACGCCCTGTCGCTTTTCGTTCGAGGACATTGATGGCGCCGGAACTCAACTACGACACCCACGACAAGGAGCTTTCTAGCAATCTATGAAGCATTCCGAGGGTGGCGGCATTATTTGGAAGGCTCCGGTACCCCCGTTGATGTGGTTACTGATCACAAGAATTTGGAATACTTCTGCACCACAAAGCTCCTAACATGCCGCCAGGCTCATTGGTCTGAGTTTCTCTCTCAATTTAACTTGGTTGTCCGTTTCCACCTGGGAAGACTCGGCACGAAACCAGATGCATTGACTAGACGCTGGGACATCTACCCCAAAGAGGGGGATAGGGACTACGCTCGCGTAAACCCTCAGAACTTCCGACTGGTGTTCACACAGGAGCAGCTCACATCCTCCCTAAGAGCTACATACCTCGCTGAACCCATGCTACAAGCGAGCTCCCTCGTCGACGTCGACGCCATCCACAAAGACATCCTAGCTGCCCTCCCTGCTGATCTGTCAGGGCACGGACGGTTATCCGGCCGGCCCGGACCTCTATCCGGATAGGTTGAGTACCCGTAAGTCGATATCTGCGTGTGATTTGCTGTAGTTAGAACGCAGGCTGTATTCAATGCGCTATTTCCGCTATCGCGTCATCCCTCACCCGTTATCGCCCCCTTATCTGCATGATCTATTCTCCTATTTCATGTCGCTTCTCTATCGGCTACCATGTGTTCCCAGTGTAGCCGCGCTCTTATGAGTTGCGGAACTCATGTATATAAGGCCTTATCGCCAGCTGGGTTGGCCCCCCAGCTTTTACAACGACTAGTTTCCCGGGGAGATTCTTACGCGCAAACTGACGCGCGGACTCTGACATGATCCCACCATCGCCGACTACCTCGCTGGCCCGATCCCAGAGGACTCCTGTTGGTCTCGAGACGCAGATGGCCTATTACGGCTAGACAACCGAATCTATGTCCCCGATGCCAACGACCTCCGGCTTTGCATCCTGAGGTATAAGCATGACCACCCGCTCTCTGGCCACTTCAGGCAGAACCGAACCTTGGATCTGTTACGCCGAGAGTACACCTGGCCGGGCGTCTGCACGTTCGTCAAGGACTATGTGTCCTCTTGTACGGCTTGTGCCCGTGCCAAGGCCCCATGACACAAGCCATATGGCTTGCTCAAACAGCTACCTATTCCTGAACGCCCGTGGCACTCCATATCAATGGATTTCATTGAGCACCTTCCCGACTCCTCTGGTTTCACAGCTATCTTGGTTATCGTCGACCGGCTATCAAAGCAGTGCATCTTCGTGCCAACGACCGATACCATAACAGCCCCGGAGTTAGCAAAGTTGTTCCTCCTTCACATCTTCTCCAAGCACGGCGTTCCATCCCACATAACCTCTGATAGGGGTTCAGAATTTGTCTCCCACTTCTTCCGCTCTCTTGGCAAGGCTTTGGACATTCGCCTACACTTCACCTTGGGTTACCATCCCGAAGGCGACAGTCAGACCGAACGAATGAACCAAACACTGGAGCAGTATCTGCATGTCTATTGTAACTACCAGCAGGACAATTGGTCCAAGCTCCTGCCTCTGGTGGAGTTCGCCTACAATAACACGCTGAATGCTACAACCGGTGTTTCACCATTCTTCACGAACAAAGGTTACCACCCGAACCTTGCCGTACACCCCGAGCGAGATCTGACTTCGGCGCAAGCCCAGGAGTACTTGGTCAATCTCGACTCTCTCCACCAATTCCTACGCGAGGAAATGAACCATGCACAGCAACATTACCAAGGCCCTGCGGATGCTCGACGGCTACCTGCTCCCCCGTTCAACATTGGCAGCTCCGCATTCGTGAAGGCCAAGTACTTCCGCACCACTAGGCCTTCGGTGAAGCTCACTGATAAGAACCTTGGGCCATTCGAGATCATCGTGCAGCCAGGTTCTCATTCTCGTACTCTCCGCCTCCCCGACACCATGAAGGCTGTGCACCCAGTCTTTCATGTCTCCCAACTTGAGCCCACTGTCCCCAACCCCATCCCGAACTGCACACAGCCACCACCGCTGCCAATCGAAATCGATGGTGAACTTGAATATGAGATCGCCGAGATCCTCGACTCTAGAATCGATTGCCGGCGAAGCTGCAAGCTGTTGTACCTCGTATGTTGGGACGGTTATGAAGGGACTACAGAAGAGACTGAGTGGCTCCCCGCGACCGAACTTGGTCACGCTTCAGACCTCGTTGCGGACTTTCACTCACGATACCCGGATAAGCTGGGACCAAATCGCGCCTAAGGCATGGGACGGAATGGATGGATTGCGCTTAAGGATCATGTAAGAACAAAGTGGAGTAGGAGTCAGAAGTAGACGTCGCAGGACGATGTAACATGGAATTTATCCCAATGTCACACAGGCTCACAGGGGGGACAGTAATCTCCTGCCTGCCTCTCTCAATCTCACCAAAGGTCCTTGTAGTACGGTGTTGTATAGTTGTGGCTGTGCAGTCACGGGACTACTCCAACTACACTTGCCAATGTATGTACATGAAAGAATGAAAGAGCACTGTTTTGTAGTGCAAGGGTTTATCCCTGCAACAACGATCGACCCTCGACCCCATCATGCTCGCCTCCCTCTCCCCCGCTTCCCTCGCCTCGCACCTCACCCTCACCTCCATCAATATCAATCTTCTCTCCTCAGTGTCACAGACGTGTTCCAACAGTCACCCCGCCATGGCAGTCAGACCAGAGATCGCTTGATGGATGTTGCGAAGCACATCATAGATCCTGTCCTTGTCACTGACCACCTCATCCTCCTCTGTTTCCACATCGTCCACATCCATCGTCGATCCCTCTCCTTTCGGTGCCTTGATATGAGGTCACTTCGTGGCTTGAGGCGTTCCTGCCCCACGTATGCATTTCTGCCTGGACTTCTGACATGCGGCGCAGACGCCACAATCGCTGTTGCCTTTAACGCACTCCACACCTCTCTTCACACAACATTCGCAGGGTGGTAGTCCTTCCCCCGCCACCAATGTAGCGGCAGGACGCTTTGATCAGGATGATCAGTAAAGGTTCCTGGCAAAGATCATACTGATCGGGGTACTCACCTTGCCTGCGACCACATCTGATGCCTTCGATCGCCTCTCCTCCTCAGCGGCAAGGCATGCAGCCTCAGCTCAAGCCCTGGCCACCTACTCTTGTTGTTGGGCCTCATGACGTGCAATCTCAGCCTTGCGATGCCGCAACCTCTCCGCTTGCTTCTGTTCCATCAGCTCCACATCGTCATCAGACTGATTGACAATGTCATCCTTGCTCCACATCCTTATATCCACTGGATTCTTCTTGGGAGCCATGAGAATGGAAGATCAGGTTGTTGTGGTGGTAAGTTCAATCACTGCACCGGCGGAACCAAAATTTCGGGCTCAGCCGAACCGGTTCCCACGCCAGTTCCTTGGGACTTCAAGGGTTCAGTCCTAAGAGGGGGATACTGTCATGACCCGGCGTTCCCTGGGGTCGGACGACCTCCTCCCCAACCTTCTCCCACGCCCGAACACTCCCCGCACACTCCGCTCACCACCCATCGCCACCTAACCACTTCCCACCACCTCCCCATGACCCCTCTCCTAATTGTCGTTGAACGACCTAGTGGTGCAGAGTGCCACAACCCTTGTCCCATGTTTCGCCGCACCTTGTTATCTCATGGCGGAGGTCACGTTTGACCTTCACTGTCTTAAACATGTGCTCCTTGTTTGTTTTCCTTCTTCTTTTCTCTGCCTGCAATCTCCATGAGATCTGGCAACTTATTCCCTATTCAGTTCCCTAGCGCTTATATACAGCTTGTAACTAATGCTTGTAACTAATGCTTGTACTGTAGTTCGAAATCAACTAGACATTCACCCCTAAGCTTACTTCTGTTCCTGTAAGACCTCCGACCTTCTGAAGTATCGGGACCGTGTCGAGAACAAGGTGCAACACTCCTCCTCGAGTCATTGAAGCCGAAATCCCGGCTCACTTGCCTAAGTAGCCTCGGCCTCGAGATTGGTGAGGTTATTCCTCGCTGAAGCTCAGTCATGTATAGGATGCCTGTATCACTAGCGGGCAACGTTCAGTCGCCTATGGCTACCCTCAGCGAAGCTTTGCACGGTTCTGACAGTAAGTTAGGGCACGGACGTGTTACTTGGCACAGCGCTCCTGGCATAAGTCGCTGAGGCCGAAGCCCTCTGCCATGGAGACACTCCTTCATCTCAACCTGGTCTCTGACACCCACACACAATATTGTATGCGAGGAACCGCAAGTAACAATTGCAGAAACTTCTACTCCATCTAACCCACATCCACCACCACTCATGTGTAAACACCATTTACACATGAATCCTCATGGAACAAGTGAGGAGGAATACCAAAGATATATAATCTTTAAGTTAATCCAGTTAACCCCACGCTTGTTCCCAATTCGATCGACATTTCAAAGCATGTCAATCTAATCTTCACCCAGACCCTCTTCCCTGATGAGTTCTCAAGGGGCAGCTGGATTGTCTTCTTCTCGAAAGAAGACGAAGACTGTGCAGAAATCTGCACAAGAACTCGATCCTGTTGCAGACGTTGGTGAGCCCAACGCTGCACCAATTGACCCTGACCCAATTGGGAGCCCTAATGCACCTCCAGACGAGTTAGACTCGTCAGGAGTGGTGGCTGATACAGAAGTACCAGCCACGATCACTGCTGATCTGGACAACGTGCTGATCAACACTGAGACTCAGTCAGCGGCAAGAGGCACAGGCCCTACATCACCTGTGCCACTACCACTACCACTACCACTTACCATGAGTAGCAAGTCGACAGGGACTAATAATCCCCCTGTCAACAAACAAACGGCAAAGGGAGACCTTCCATTCTCCGTTGTCATCCCACCAGAAAATGTACTGTGGAAGGAACTCATCCAGATAATGAATGGCTTCCACAAACAGTTGGATGACAGAATGAGTGCGGTCACGGACAGACTCGATAAATTAGATTGCAGAATGGATGCACTGGAGGATCACCAGGAGATTACTCCTGGAAGGATTCCTCAACTAGTCGGACCTAGTGATGCGATGAAGACCTCAGGGGCTCCTGAAGGGCCCTTGGAGTCTACTGTGACTGATTCAAGGTGAGCCCTAGATCCAACTAGGGCATCTAAATAGGCACTATGTGACCAAGGGATGTGTCCCATGGTCATGATGACTCAGAACTTGCATGACAACGACAACATGCCCATCGAGTACATCCATGTCCCAGGATCAGGGTATCCTGGAGTGCAGATAGCCACTATATTCCCTGACCTGGAAAGTGAGAAATCCGCCTCGTCACTGGCATGGATACCTTCCCATTTGAAAGAGAAATGGGTGAACAAGGATTGTATCAAGCTTGTTCACTCTTTCAGACCACCAATCCGACCCCCTGATGATGGAACCAACACTCAGGGTGATGACCTCCAGAAGGCCATCACGGAGATGTTGGGGCAGGCAGTTGAGGTGGTTGTACAACAACTGGGTACGTCGAGAATAAACTCTCGAGAACCACAAGTGGTTCTTGTTGTTGGAGAATATAATATGTTCCCAATAGTATAGAGTTTAACAGCCTATACCAGCATGGCTCAAGGATGAGTAGTGTATGGATGCACGCTAGAGGTCCTGGGTTTGATACCAGGCTTGTCCATGATTTTATGTCCTTGCCACATGACCTGGATTTAAAGCCATTTGAATTGGAGCTCCGGATAAGTCCAGTGTCGCACCGGATACAATTTCGACAATAACTTCATACAAGTTAGTTTTGTTGACAGCAGGGTTGGTGTTATCAGCTGGCAGGTGTCTGAATGCAATATCAATCCGATAGTTAGATATACAGTTGAAACCGTGGTAAGCCATACCTGAGATAACACATAACCTGCCATTACCCATAGAAATTTCTGGGAACCGGTATGGTTCTTATTGTCTAACCTGTCATATCCATACAATCCCGACCTCCACTCTGGGCTCCCGGAACTCCGAAACTGACTCCGGAGCCCTACTTCCCTTCCATCACCTTCTCCTTGCCGACTTCCAAGAGGTTATCCCACCTCTGGCTCTGACACCACCTTCAGTCCAACTCCGGAACATTCCGGGTCCGACCTCATCCTCGACACCTTCCAGACAAGCACACAACACCTATGCTCCCAACTCCAGACCTCCGCTCCGGAACCTCTGGTCTTAGCTCTGACCACGGACTTTGACCCCACCTCCACTTATACCCATTGTATTGGTTAGCTCATTCCATTTAATTACCTTTGCCAATTTCTGGAGTTTAACTTCCGAGTTCGGACTTTCCGGACTTACTTTGGACCTTGCAACTATTGCATTGCTCCATTCAGTTCCGCTATTCTCCCTCATTCCTATTTGGGCTGCTGCTTCCTTTCTATTCAGTCAGCTGGCCATTCCCCACTCCCATCCTCCTTCCTTCCTCCTTGGGCCTTGGCCCTTCATTCCTCCTTTGAGAAACACCATTGAGTCAAACCCTTGACCCTTGGTGTTGTTCCTCCTTCCAGCTCCCTTTGTCTGCTTTTGGAGTACCCTTGCTCCTTTTGATTCCAGACCCCTCCTTATATACAATGTACATAGTAACTTGTAACCTCAGTCCAAAATCGACCTTAAATGCCCCCAAGAGACTTCCCCTCTGCTAGATCTGAAATTAGGGACCCCCAGGACAACCAGCAATGGCACAGCGCTCCACCTGAGTCGCTGAGGCCGAAATCCTTCCTGTCAGGGACAGCTCCGAAAGCGGCGAAATCCCGGCACGAGGGACCCAATGGGACGGATGTCGGCTGTGCATGGCAGCGATCCCGTTGCAGGGGAGCGTCCCCAACCACTTGGCCTGAAGTGGGAAGTTGAGAAGAAGGCTGCTTCTGTTCCCACCCCAGGTGCTATTATATACATGCGGTCAAGGTCACATGGGGGGAGCCACATCATCTCCACAGACAGCCAGACCTCTCTGGGTGTCTCCACAGGAGATCCCGAAGGTGTCCCGCTCTGTAGGCAGGGATGTGTGCAGCAGGTGTGGCGATTGGGGGAGTGGTATTAGGTGTGTGATGATACATAGAGAAAAGGGAAATTGACCGTGGAATAGAAATAGAGACAAAGGAGGGAAAAGGGAGAGTGTCATGACCGACAAATCCCAGGGCTCCGTCAGCGGCGAACCAATGCCGATAGGCGAATCCGCCGACCCGAAACCCATCCTAACCAGCCCCCAACCCCATGTCTGGCCCCCTGCCTTACTGCGTGAGACTTGGCCAAGAATCAGAACCTAGACCCTGCCGGTATTCCGACCTTACCTCCAGTTCCTGAGCCCTTGGCGCTCCCGGCATTCAGTCACGCCTGCCTTGTCTCCATCTGAACCACACTCATCGCTTCCCGCTATGTGGTCACAGCCATGCCCCGCTTCCGTCCACTCCGCACCCTCTGCCCACTCCGCACCCTCTGCCCATCTCTGCACCTTCTGGCCACTTCTGGTTGCCCTTGACACCTCTGGTCAGGTCAACACTCCCACTCCCCTCTGTACCTCTGTTGGCCTTCATGCTGTCCTTGTGTGACAGTGCTGGCAGATCAACCTCTGTTCGCGGACTTGTGTCGGCACCGCACCGACCCCGCTTATTGCGGACTTGTATCGGCGCCGCGCGCTGACCTCCGCTTTTCCTCTGGCCATTTGTCACTTGGCAGCTTATCATTCATTCCTTGCCGAGTGCCATTTATTGTTTGCTTCCCTGCCAATATCGGCATTTGATCCCCTCTTTATTGGCACTAGGTTATTGATCTCATTCAGTTATTCATCAATAACCCTTGCCACTTATTGTTTATTGATCTGTTCCTCGTTTCCAGTTCCCGGGCTCTTGTCCTTATTTAGTTTGACAATTCCCGCTTATCTCCGCGCCGGACCGCGCCGGACTGACCGGCCTTTCTATATTCCCTCTTGCCTATTTATATACCTTGTAAATACTTTCGGGGACCCCAGTCTGAAATCAACTAGAGTACCCCCCCTGTCTGTTCTGAGTCTCTCCTTCTGCAAAGGGGGCTTCCCCCCCCTCTGAGTCCGTGCTCGCGGAGTCCGTGCTCCTCCTATAGGTCCGCTCCGCCCGCAAGTCTTGTTTGAAGTCCGCTGTAAGTGTCAGTTTGTAAATACGGGATCTCCCCCAAACGTCAAGCTCAGGGCACAGCGCTCCACCTGAGTCGCTGAGGCCGCGATCCCACTCTGCTAACCTTGAACAGCGCTTCCGGACGCGCCGCATAGTTCCGCCCACATATCCGCGCGTGCGCGCTCCAACAGACCTCTGCCACAATCTCCGACACCGACAATATCCCAGCCTCTGACAAAATCCAGTCTCTGACAGAGAGGAGGAACGAGGTGTGGTAGTGGGGGGAGCAGGGTAGTTGTTGTTGTTGTTGATATCATATTTGTTACCCCGTGGTCATGTTGGCACGTGACAGAGCGGCATATCCCACTACATTACATCTGTACATGAGGGGACTTTCACAACGTGGAGTGTCGTCGGGTTAGTATGGTTGGGGTGATGGTGTCCTCTGGGGTCTGGTTTCGGGTTGATTTGGTTCATCTGTGGATGGGGTTACTCCCCGGGTTCAGTGCTGTCATGATGGGTGGTTTTCTTGAAAGTTTCGGTTGATGGGAACCGAGGTACGATCGGGGGTAAGTCTGGGTCTCTTATCGATGGCATGCGACTTCTTTAGGTATTTTGCCAGTCTGAGGATTCCTTTCGGCCTCCCCATCAGCACCATGGGTCTGGTCTGCCATCCGCTACCCAGCAGGTGTCAAAACTTCCTGAGTTGCGGGCAGTTTTGTAGGACATGGGTTTGTGTCTGGACCGCTGCACCGCACTGGCATTCTTGGCTCTCTGTATGAATGCCAAAGCGCTGGTAGTATTCCCCAATGTGCACGTGTCCGGTGCGAAACTGGATTAGTCTGCTGAATGTTTTCCAGTCTAGTGACTTAACCTCAGGGTGGGTCTGAGTGTCGGGGCGATATGGTTTGCCAGGTGGAATCCGGAGCTGGGGGGGTTGGGTGCGGTTGACCATCGAGCTTTCCAAGCTTCTTCCATCTCCGCTCTGTGTAGGCTCTCTACGTATGCGAGTGAGTGGTAACCTGGCCTGTCTGTTCTAAGGTGGGCACCTTCCTTTGCTAGCTTGTTGGCCTGGTCATTTCCTGCAATACTGCAGTGGCCCGGACACCAGCTGATTGCAATTTTTAGGTCCTCCTTTTCCTCAAGCAGCCCTCCTATCGTGTTCCTGAAGACCCACGAGTGTTCCTGTGCCTTCCCGGGTTTCCCCTGGAAGATGCGTTTCACCACACTGGCATTGTCTGGGTATAGGACGATGTTTGAAGGGCTGTTCAGGTTGTTCTCTAGGTAGCGTTTGGTTAGTTCGGCTGCCGTGCGTAGGCCCATCATTTCGGTGTTGAAGGTGTCGACATTGCCTCCCATCGCACCGTTCCCTTCGAAGACGATATCGCCCACCAAGTACCCTACTACGCTGTAGCCTGTGATTCTCTGGCTGTCCTCGTCTGTCTTGTACCCATCAGAGTAGACAAAGAGGAGGTCCAAGTCGTCTTCGTGTTCCGTGACGAACTCCAAGTGATCGTCCTTCCAGGATTCTTTGGGGGATGACCCTGGGCTGTTCTCCGGGACGTAGACCCGGATCCTTTCTTCTAGATCGTGCTCGGAGAAATGCCATGGTGCCTCTAGGTGGGGCTCGACCTTCTCTGTGCCTGCTATGATGTGGTCCACTACATGGGTGATGCAGGTGCAGAATTTCTCTCTTGGGTCTATTCGATACCTTCTGTGGAGGTCGTATATTGGGTGGGGGGGGGAGGTGGGAGGTGGTGTGCCTTGTCTTTGCCAGGAGTATAGGCGATTGGTGACAGGGTGGTCAGTGGGGAGGCAGGATAACCGGGTGGCCTCCATCTTCAGCCTGTATTCGAGGAGGATGTCAATGGGTGGTATGGATGCCTTGATCTCCATGGCGATGATGTTGGTTGTGTGGAACGCGCCTGTGATCAAGTGTAGGCACTTATTCTGGAGATGTCATATCCATTCCCGGCCATCGACTTCCGGACTCTCCGACCCCTCCGTTCTAACTCCGCTCCCCCCTCACCAACCTCGGAGCCCCCGTATTCCGCAAACCTCCCGGTGCCCCTCGATGACCACCACCCCTTCATTTCAATTTATTACCTACGCCTCCCTAAGTACGGAGCCCCGAAGACTTCCGGACAGCTCCGACGTCCGCTAGCGCACTCCCGCCTCCGCTGGGCAATACACTCGCCTGCCCTGCAGAGTCCACCTTCGGGCTTATCCCTCCTTTCCGTTTCTGGGTTAACGCCTGCCTTTCCGCTAACCCCGCGAACCGACTCGTCGGTAATATTCAGTCGGCTAATGTCTTAACCCCGTTAGCTCCGCTCCGTCCGGCTCCGCCAATTGCGGAACCGTCTCCGCTGTAACCATATATATACACTACTTGTACATAGGTTACGCCCCAGCAGATAAATCAACTAGAGTTACCCCCACTAGGTTCTAAGTGCCAGTCAGTAAGTTAGGGCACGGACGTGTCACTAGGCACAGCGCTCCTGGCAGA